CTTATCACCAGAGCAATGTTTATGATGCTACTGAGTGGCTTAAGCAGCAGTTACACTCTAAAAAAAAAAAAAAAAAAAACCCTCACCAGAGGATATGTTTATTGGTTTTAGAGGGAGGAAGGAAGAGAGAGGAAGAGAGAAAGAAACATAGATGCGTGAGAGAAACATGGATCAGTTGCCTCTTTTACACCCTGACCGGGGATCGAACCCACAGCCTAGGCACGTGTCCTAAGCAGGAATCAAACCCACAATGCTTCTGGTGCACGAGATGATGCTCCAACCAACTGCACCACTGGGCCAGGGCAGTGACACTTTTTGTTAATATCCATACTGAAATATCAAATTTAAAAAAAGCATTTTTTGAGTAACCTTCTTGTATCAGACATGGGTTCCTCGAAACAGCCCGCCTCTCCCAGGTTGAGCTAATAGTCTGTTCTATGCAGAACTTCACAGCAATCACAAGTGGCAAGGGGGAAAAAAATACTGCACAGACATACCTATCACTGACCTTTCTTTTTTTTTAAAGATAATTTTATTTCATCTGATTTTAAAGCTCAACTTATTTTTCCCAGCTTTACTGCGGCATAATTGATGTACACAATGCTGCACGTAACTAATGTGTTCAACTTGGTGAACATGGATTTAGGGATGAGTCAGAGACAACTGCATCTGTAAGTTTCAAAATAAAAGTCTGTTGGTCCACCAGCATGAGAAAATTAGTATTGGCTCAGCACCACCTCTATGCCCCGAACGTCCAAGGATCTGTGGACATATTACTGTTACACGCAGGCAGCCAAAAATGGAGGCCATGGACAGTGACTTGTTCACAGGATTCTTGGGATGACTCTAAAATACAAAAGACATCCATGGAGATCTCAGACTGTCCCATGTAACAGGCACTGGTGCACTCATTTTTAAGAATTCTCTCATTTAGCCCTGGCTGGTGTGGCTCAGTGGATTGAGTGCCAGCCTGTGGACAAAAGAGTTTCCAATTTGATTCCCAGTCAGGGCACATGCCTGGGTTGTGGGCCAGATGCCCAGATGTTTCCCTTCCTCTCTTTCTCCCTCCTTTCCCCTCTCTCTAAAAATAAAATCTTTTTTAAAAACAATTCTTTCATTTAATACTCACAGCAAACTGTGATTATTATTACTCCTGCATGATTACTATTATTATTATTATTCCTATTGTTTTCCAGACAAAGTAAAAGAATGTGATTCAGCTGCCGAAGATGAATTCTTGGATTCATAATTTGAACCCTTGATGCCTGACTTTAGATACTTGCCTTTAATCCCCCCTCCCACCAACTCCACTCCCCAAACCCACGGACACACCTAAACGCTGGACCTGAAGCAGGTGTGTTTGCTGGAGGAAGTTGCTCTGAGATAGTGCGTATTCTTTGAACACAGACCTATCAGCCATGTGGGGCTCAGCCCAGGAGGCCTGAGCTCTTTTGCATAAACGACTGTTGTTTTTTGCCCTGGTTGGTGTGACTCAGTGGACTGAGTGCTGGACTGTGAACCAAAGGGTCACCGGTTCGATTCCCAGTCAGGGCACATGCCTGGGTTGCAGGCCAGGTCCCCCAGTAGGGGGCGCACGAGAGGCAACCACACATTGATGCTTCTCTCCCTCTCTTTCTCTCTTCTTTCCCCTCTCTAAAAAAAAAATGTTGTTTTCTACCCTTCCCTCCAGTCCACTTCTGAACTGGTCCCTCAAGCTTCAGAGACTGTCTGGACCGTGTCCACCTTGCTTTCCTGTAAAGCACCTCCCACACTGTCACTCTGCTCCCTGGTGACCTGAGGGCCTAGCGCGGCCTGCTCAGGCAGAATGCTGCTTCCCTTCCTTCCAATCAGACGCCCAAATGCCGACCAGCCAGGAATCCTGTGCAGCCCTGCAGGCTGCTGCGTGTACACAAATTTGTCACAGCAAAGTCCCAGCCCCTGAGGCATACAGTGCTTTGGGGGAAAAGGACAATCAACTGAGCTCCATAGCTAGAGAAATGACAAGATGTGTATTCTCGGAGACTGTGTGAAAACATCAGTGCTCGGGGCGGGGGGGGGGGGAACAGGACAGGAAAATGGACTACGATAAAGTTCTTTGAGAATATGATTTGACTGGGATGGGAAATACTGGCTTATTTCTCGCAAGATGCACTGCCTGATATTTCTAGTTATCCAATCTCATACCCTATTTATAATCAGAAGATCGGATTTTAGTTTCAGATAATGCACGTGCAATTTTGTCACTATAAGACTATAGCTGGTGCAGTTCACTGTGAGGCAGCAGGATGCGAACAAGGTTGGGGAGCACATGGCAGGGCCTGCAGAAGAAACGGTGCCCCGTCACAGCAGCACAGCCTTGGGCAGGTTAGGGACTCTCTGTTCCCTCCTGTTTCAGGAAATCAGATGGGCAAACATTCCCTGGAACTTCGCTGTCTAGTACAGTAGCTACTAGTCACAGGTGGCCATTTAAATTAACTCTGAAATTTAAAAAAATACACACGCAGTTCCTAAGTCACCCTGGCTACATTTTAATTGCTCAAAATCCACATGGAGTTAAGTGGCCATTGCACTAAACAACATATATACACAATCTGCATAGAACGCCTACTGGATGGTGCTGGTTTATTTTTCAAAAATGGATCAAATTAATATAAACAGTTCTGGGACTGTATTACTATTAAACAAGTAATAGGTTTCTATTCAGGATTCTTACTGTTTGTGAGTCTGTGAAAAGCCTGGTGCATAAGCCTGGTATCTGTGCTCCAAATCTTTTTTTCTGTGCAACTCGTACAGGTTGTCAGAGGGAGACCGATGAACCAATGCATTTAGGAGAGGTAAGAAAGTGCAAGTCAGGCTTTGGAAGAACTGTCATTTCCAAAACAAAATTTGGTAACTATATAAAGAAGGAAAATTCCTAGATCAATGGTGGGAAGGCACCAAATAAGCAAAAATGATTTCAAGTTTCACAACTTTAATTAGTTTTAATTCCTCAGATGGTTAACTTTTAATGTTGTTATAAATGCTATGAATTTTAAATGTTTTCATATCATTGATTATACCTTTGTAATGTTACGATGTATGGAAATACAACTGACCTTGTATATTGCACTGCTAGCTGATGTCCTTGTTAAATAGGCTTAGTAAATCTAACAGTTTAATCAGTAACTTATTCTCATTTTTTGGCTGTCTTCCATTAATAATTCCTTACCAGCTTTAACATCTTTTCTTTGCTTGCCTTTTTGTACTGGCAAGGACTTGCAACAATATAGGACTTTTTATTTTTTTATTTTTTTCAGGCAAAATGCTTTAAAAGCTTTCATTTAAAGAATTGCTTTTAATTAAAAATTTATCCAACATGTCAGTATATATGTTCCTTATTTCTGCTGTCATTTTTATTAATAAATGTGTTTTTAGAAACATGACCACGTCATATAAAAGTTCAGATTTAATAATGTAACTTTGTTCCTGATATTACCGTAGTGATACCACTTTTTAAATTTCTATTTATTTGTGCCTTATTCATTTTTTCCTGACAAATTTCACCAGAAATTTCAATAACCACTTCAAAGGATTTTGTCTGATTCACTCCCCTTCAGATTTGTTTTTTCTTTAATTAATTTCCTAACTTTATTATTTGCTTCAATCTGATTTATGCCCTATAACCAGACTTTCTCTCATTTTAAAATATAAATTTAGGATATAAAGTTCCTTCTAAAAAAACTTGTTTTAGCAAACAACATCCGATAATATATATAATGATGATAAATCATACCAGATTTATTCTCGGAAAAATGGTAAGTTAAATCTTTAAAAATCTATCAGTGCAAATAATCACATTAAGAGAATAAAGAGGAAACACACGATAATGTCAAAAATATTCAGAAAACTACATAATAAAATTCAGGATATATTCATGATTAGTACTCTTAGCAACGTAGGATTATAAAATATTTTCACTACACTTATTAAATGTATCTACAAAATGACAAAGAGCTCGCAGGTGGAAATTAAAAAGCACCACTTTTGAGCTGATGGTAAAGAATATGTTGTGAACGGCTGTCCTACCACAATGCAGCACAAACCCGGGTGAAGAAAGCCAGGGAAACAAAGGAACTCCACGACTTAAACCAGCCAGAGAAAATTAAAGCCTGGGTCACACAGGGAACAGTGGCTTATTAAGCCAGAATCAGGACTGAAAGCCTGCAGATTTTGCACAGTGGACAAAGGGGACCATCAGAAATCCCAATAAACTGCAACGCCATAAAGGCACAAAAAGTCTGAAGTGCTCCCGGCTCATGCCTTGCTGACAGAAAGCATTCTCAACGTAATCCCCTATGAATTTCCAGAAAATAAAGTACAGATGAAATCTTGTCAATGAAACAAAATGATTAAAGCTTCCATCAGTAACAATAATGGGAACTCCCCCCCCAAAAAAGCCCCACACAGACATAATATGAACAAAAAAATAATTCATAAAATTCACGTGAGAGGTTTCAGAAACAAGGTGATCTTTTCGACATGGTGCGGGGGGAATAAGGGTTATGGTTCAATGATTTTTAAAACAGATAAATTCATCTGAACGAGCAATCAAATGCAATGCGTCTGCGTGAAAAGCAGAGATTAAATTAAAACCTCAAAGAGTGGCGATTACGTCCTCCGGACGAGCCCATATGCTGCGCGGCTGCGGCGGCAGAGGCCAGGGGACAGGCAGAGAGTCCGCCTGCCGCTAACAAAGGAGGCACGAGGTCTGTGTTCCCACGACAGGATTTTACGGATTTCGCGGACCGGGTTGAAAACTGCCGGTGCACCCACAGGAAGTGTCCGCCGTGCCTGCCGGGAGAAGGAAGTAGGAACGCTTAGTAACAGGAAGTAGGGGCAACACGGAATGAAAAAAGATGCGCACCTCCCAGTAAGGAGCACCGTGCCGGCTCCTGGCTTCGAGCCCGAAAGGAAGAGACACTGGGGTGGTTCTGGCACCGTTTTGGGGTGTAAAAGGTGCAATGGAAGAGCCTGCAGCTCCCACAGAACCCCACGAGGCAGCCGGTGCCTCAACAGGTGCCCAGGGAGCAGGTGAGGGTGCCTCGGGGCCCGGCCACCCGACGCGCCCGGTTTCCCGGCATTCTACGGCTGGAGGCCCGGCCCCCTTCCGCACGTCACGTCTCAGGCCTGCCTATGCTTCCGGGGGCGGGGCCGGGCCCAGCTGGCTGCCGGGTCCGCGGCAGAGCGGCAGCTGGACAAAGCAAGTCGTCTGCAGGTATTATCTGCATGGGCTGTGCAAGGAGGGGGAGAACTGTCGCTACTCCCACGACCTCTCGGGCCGGCAGGAGGCCAGGGAGGGCCGCGGGTCGCCGGCTGGGGCCTCCGCAGAGCCGGGCCCCGGCGCGGCTGCGCAAGACGAGCCCCTGCCTCAGGAAGTGGCGTGCGCCCCTCCTGCTGCGTCCTCACACTACTTGCCTGTGATTGGCTCGGCTGCTGAAGGGGGCTTCTTTGAAGCCGAGACCTACGGTGCAGGCCTGGAAGCTGCGCAGGGAGCGGGTGCGGAAGGCTGGGCGGGCGCGGAAAGCTGGGCGGATGCCGTTGAGTTTGTTCCTGGGCAACCCTACCGGGGCCGGGGGACCGTTTATGCCCCCGAGGCCCCTCCTCAGAGCTCGGTGACTCAGTGGGAGTACGTTGCTGTGGGCACTGGGATGCAGCTTTGCCGCGATGCTGCCATGGGGCAGTGCTTTCGTGGGGAGAGCTGTGCATATCTCCACGGAGAGATATGCGACTTTTGTGGGCGGCAGGTCTTGCACCCTGTGGATGCTGACCAGCGGGCAGACCACATAAGAGCCTGCATTGAAATGCACGAAAGAGATATGGAGCTCTCGTTTGCTGTGCAGCGCAGCAAGGACAAAGTGTGTGGCATCTGCATGGAGGTTATCTATGAGAAGGCCAACCCCAGTGACTGCCGCTTTGGCATCCTGTCCAACTGCAACCACTCCTTCTGTCTTAAGTGCATCCGCAGGTGGAGGACTGCCAGAGAGTTTAGGAACAGGCTTATCAAATCCTGCCCACAGTGCAGGGTCACCTCCAACATTGTCGTTCCCAGTGAGTTCTGGGTGGAGGAGGAGGAAGAGAAGCAGAAACTTATTCAGCAGTACAAGGAGACACTGAGCACCAAGACCTGCAGGTATCATATTCCAGGCAGGGGTTGCTGCCCATTTGGAGCGACCTGTCTTTACAAGCATGCAGACCCTGAGGGCCAGGGAGAGGAGGAGGAGGAGGAGGAGGAGGAGGAGGAGCCTGAGAGGCAGGGGTCTGGGGCACCCGGCGGTCACGGCAGTCGACCTTCGGAGCCTGAGCAGGTGGGAGAGGGCAGCATGCTCTTTAAAAGCAGTAAAAAAGAGCTTGTCACGCTTTGGCTGGCCAGTCTGTTGTTGTTTAAGTGTTTTCTTTCACTGGGAGATAATGAGCTTTTCTCAGAGACCCAGTGGGTCTTGCTCCGTGGGGGGGCTGGGAAAATATACCCGCTTGAGTCTGTGGCATTTCGCTGTGGCATGTGGTGTAGTGTGCTGAGGCTGTCATCGGCCGTTGCCTGTTCTCTGTTTATAGCCACATCTACCATGTACAGCAGCTGTCGGAGCCATTTGTATAGATCATCCATCTGTTTTCTTGCCCATCCCCATTTCTCTCCCCCTAAGAGTGTGGTGTGTCACAAAAGTCACAAAAAGTTTTTAAAGTTGTTGTTTGGTGAAATGCATTATTACTGTCAGTTTATGGTTTATTTTGTCATCTCTGTTTTCAACAGGATTGACTCAGTTCTAGTCTAGTGTTTACAGGATTTCCACACTCATTTTGAAGCCCCTCAAGAGTAAATGGGACAGGGTGAAGGGCGAAGGCTTAACTGAACGAGGAACTTTTTGCTGCTACAGCTTTAAGAAATGGACCCTCGGGGGGCCTTGTGCGTGCAGCTGCTCGTCTCTGCTGTTTACATGTCTGTTCCTTCCCCGATTCCTTTCAAGTGCACTTTTTAACTTGTGGTGACCTCGTGCGTTTTGTGTTTTACTTGACCAGAACCAGGTGTATATGTTTACATGTTTTCATCCTGCTTAACTTGATGTGAAATTATTTATATGTGGAAGCATATATTTAAGAATTATATATAAATACACATGCGTATAAATGAGTATAAAAGTTATATGAAAACATATATAAAGGATATACATATATATCGTAATATAGTACACTGTGTATGTAATAAAATAAAGGCAGAACTGGAAGCTAAAGGTCCAAGGCTAACAGAATTCACTTTTGTGTGAGTGTGAGGTGAATGGATAATTCTGTTCCGCGCTACAGTGATTAGCATCTAATGAAAAAAGCTGTTCAAGTGGATCCGGCCGAATATGGCACAGATCTTAAAGGACTTACTAAGCGGGATGTTGGTGATTTCCATGGTGGCATTAATAGCTCACTCTGCTGTTATAAATACAGAAATGTGTGTGTAGAACTATCTCACTATTCTTTATAGCAGCACAGTTCTGGACACAGTGTTTTGTATTCAATATTTTCTGTTATCTCTAGATAATCCCCACAATGGGCTTTTGACAAAAGTTTTCAACATGTAGGGGAAAACATTATAAACGAATCATAAAAATTTTGAAACTAATAAGAGTACAAGAATGGAAAGACAAAAACCCCTGAAATCTAGAAAGGAACAAAAATGAAGTACAATAGTGATGCAGAAAGTTTATAACACAGACACACCGTAACTAGGTTAAATGAAAATGGTTTAAAATGAAAGTCAAATATTTTTGAGTCTTGATTATAATTAAAATGAAACTCTGTGCTATTTAAAATACACATCTAAAATATAAGAACACAAACAATAAAAGTAATAGGTTGAAAAAATTAATCCAAAGATACTTCAACTTCTTACAGACTCTGCATAGTCAGGATAAATGCATTGTTAGAGATAAATAAGGATGGCACATAAACATTAAGTTGCAATTTACCAGGAAGATAAAACTATTCCAATTTTGTATTCTTTTAATAACGTAGCATCAGGTACACAAATAAACAATTGATAAGTATAGAAAAATACAAAATCTGAGGGAACAATTTTAATACATCTTTTCGGTAACTGAACAAGGAAAGACTGTGAGGTGAACTGCCCCATTTTAAGGATTTAATGACCCTGTATAAAATGCTGTGTGAATTAATTGAAGAATGCTCTTCTCTGAGCTGAGATAGCTGAAAATACCCTGGAGGCCCACTGACTGTCAGGCCAAGGACGCATTTGCAGAGTTTAGACCATGTACCGGGCACTCTGCAAAGCATGAATTTAATTCCCAGAGCCAGCTTATTATCAGGATGATTTCCCATCATCCTGATGAGGGAAATCAAGTAGAGAGGTGAAATTACTGCTGATATCGCTGTGGCCTATAGGTATAAATTAGTGGGACAGTGAGTGGAATGCAGCCTAGGTCCGGGTCACAGACACTGGTCCCCCGCGTGCATGGCTCAGCAGAGGGATAGACCCAGACGAGCTCCTGCGGGATATGGGAGCCTTGGGGTGTTGTCTGTGGGCTGCCAGGCTCCGTGTTCCTGGCCCCCTTCTCAGCACGTGCCGCAGCCCCTGGTATTTTCACACTGCCTGTGCCCTGTTTCCTGATTCCCGATTCTGTGGGTAAGTACCTCAGCCGGTTTTCTCTGGGGTCATTGCCATAGTCCTTCGCTCTTGACTCCCCTTGTGTAAAGAATTCACCCACCAGGAGGCCTTGGATGCCTCCAGACAGGTGCCCATCCTCAAGGTCGTCCCACACACCCAGGGTCCAGAGGGCTTAGATGACCAAAGCACCCAAGCGCAGGACTGGGTGGAGCCGGTCAGGGGCGACTCTGATACCAAGGGCTCCGTGAGCTCCGAGCAGCGGCGAAGCTGTCAAAGCAGGAGTTTAAAACTGACCGCGGCGAGCCCTGAACGCTGTCCTGTGGACACTGCCTAACACTGAAACAGCCCGCTTTTCTTCCCATAGCACCGCGCACCGGACAGTGACGATAAGGTTCCGGAGGCTCGGTGGGGCACGGTTAGCAAAGGAGATAAAATGTTCGGGCAACAGAGAAAGGGTAATTAGGATCCTGACTCGCCTTCTTACCCGCCACGCACTCTGGAGAAAGTCAGTGTAATTTTCTGTATTTCAGTTTCTTTATGTGAGAAATGGGTACAGCGGCACCTACTTGCAGGGTTGTTGTGAAGGTCCCATGTCATCGGGCAAGGAGCTTGAGTCACGTGGTACTTTCACAGCGGCCGGGATAACAGTGGGATGTCTGGGTGGAGCGGACCTGAACAGAGTTTACGCAGGAATTAATAGTCCCCTCAGTTTTGCTCTCTGGGAACCTTTGGTACCTGAATGAAGGGAATACTATTCCTTTAGGATTGTTTTCATTGCGTGGGGGCTCATGATCTTTAGGGTCATAATTTCAGAGAGACCAAGTAATTTTTTTCAGCAAAAGTCATGCACGTAAAACTAAAAATGCTCTTCTAATCCTGGAGATGTAGTAAACAACAGAAACATAGTATTTGTGATGGATGCCTCTAGGAGTAAAATAAGAAATACGAGATTTTAAAATAGGACATTCCCTGTCCCTGATCAGCTCCTTCAGAAAGAGGTCACACAACAGGGGCGTCACTGAGACCAAACTGGGCAGCATGTCCCCAGGGCCTTCCCCTGAAGACAGCTGGGCTGCCCGGCTGGAGCCGGGAACAAAGGAGCCCTCCGCACACAAAGGTCCGCTCCGCGAGTGAGTGTGCGCGCGGCCCCTCCTCCGCAGGGACTGCGGGGCTCAGCCCCCGCGTTTGTACCGAAGGTCTGGTTCCAACCACGTGACAAAGCAAGTCTGATTTGCCTCGGCTTCCTGTGTCTAAAGTTGGTGGATGTACAGACTTACAAAGATGCTAAAATTTGACCTGGTGCCCGTTTCCCCTCTAGGACGTTTGCCTCACTTGTCACTGAATCCATTTGCTGAACTTCAGTGGCGTAAAGGGAAGCATTTCCAGTTCATAACCGAAGCCCGTCTGCCGCTCTATTTTGCGCTTTGTGTACACAGCTCATGGGGATGGTCTGTTTCCACAGCAGGTGCTGAACTACAGTCTTGGCGTGGACTAGAGTTGGGATGTGGGTGGCCAAAGGGATGTTTGGGAAATGACCCGGCACTAGTGCAGGAAAAGCAAATTAGTACATGTCAGAATTTTTGCCGTGAAAATAACAGCATATCCCATTTTCCAGTGTTGAATGGACGCTAATAAAAAATAACTGTTGGATCAAGATGAAACTGTCAATGAAGTTGAGAAATTAGTAGTACAAGCAACATTATCCAATCTGCATGCAAGAAAATGAGCCACTCCCACATGAAAACGCCTTTAAGTACCTCTCAAAAATAATTTGATGGAAGAGTGAATTCAGAATCATTTAGCAGGATAGAATGAGTAATTTAAAATTATACATACCATGATCTATAGGAGAGTGCTGAATTTGTGCTCAGAGAAAAGCTAATTTTAAATACTAATGTAACATCCATTGTCAAGAAAAGCAAATTACATAATAAAATAGGTACCCAAATCTGTAAATGTTAAAGAAACAACATACATGCAAACATACACATGCAATCAGAAATAATTAACAAGGATTAAAGCAAAAATCAGTGGATTAGAAAACAGGAATATAAAAGCTGCTTCTTTGAAAAAAAGTCAATAAGCAGATAAAGTATGAATTTGATCACAAGTGAAAGGAGAAGTTCACAGTCTGTAAGGAAGAAATACGCCTACTTTTGAGTGTGCGGAGCAGTCCGGAAAGCGCTCGCGGGACGCAGTGGTGCCTGGTGGCCGGCGGCCCGCGGAGCCGGAGCGCCAGCGCGCAGGGGGCGCTGGGAGCCATCTGCTGTCCGCCGGCCGCAGCTGTGAGCTTCAGTTACTTGTGTCTCTGCCTCTGAGACACTCTGACCCATGCAGTTTAACTCAGGCCCCGTCAGGGTTTTTCTCTTGTCATCTTCACCCACTTCCCGCATCTGCCCCGGCTACCCCCGGAAGCCACTGACCTGTTGTCTGTTTCTGTGGGTTTGGTTTTGTAGGTTCCGTGTATGAATGCAGTCGTACGGTACTTCTTGCTCTCTAACTTATTTCACTTGGTAGAGTGCCTCAAAGGTCATTCATGGTTTTACAGATGGCGGGAGAGCCCTGCATTTTTTATGGCTTAATAATATTTCACTGTAGGACGTAATTTATACCAAAGCATAACCAGTACACACACACATGATCAACTTTATGCGCTATGTTGCAAAAACATAAAAATAAATATTAGAAAGAAATCTGAACAAAAATATCTCTGCATTGTTATCCTTTTTAGTAAATCAAAAGAGAGTAATCATACTTGCTCAGATCCGGCCCAGACAAGTAGATCCCATCTCTTTATTGACAGTTAAAATTATTTTGATGATGCATTGCATACAAAAACAAAAAATGAGACATAAACATTTCAACAAGCAGATGATACAGTATTGCATGTTGAAAATCTAAAACTATC